GCTAGGCTATAAATGTAATAAATAGCAGGGGACGGCAGAGGATGAGGTGGCTGGATGGAGTCACTGAAGCAGTCGGTGTGAGCTTAGGTGGACTCTGGGGGATGGTGGAGGACAGGAAGGCCTGGAGGAATGTGGTCCATGGGGTCGCGATGGGTCCGATGCGATTTCACAACTAGCAACAAACAACAGCAACTGAGGGAAACAAAATGGGTCTAAATGAGTCTTTCGTTTGATCTGGCAGGGGTCATGCTATATAAGCGAGTATACTGGCCAGAGAACTTCTGCTGTTGGGAAGTATAAACATGCAATTAATTAATTAATTCAGAGCCAGATCCATGAGGAATGTTTGAGGCCTAAAGAAGGAAAGCATTATAAAGGGTTTTCCCCACTCAAGGCATTTATTTATGATATGCTAACCATTCCCTACTCATGGTAGGTTATGAGTTCTTCAGACAATATCATGGCCCTCCAGTTTTGCTTCTGTGGCAAACATCGGAATTTTTAGAACTGGGAAAATGCAACATTTAATTATGGAAGTGACAGAAAGTGCTATTTCTTGTGTATTTGTGCTATTTCACAATCCCACCTAGAGGTTGTGCAGCAGAAAAGCAAGAACGCCAACACTTGTACAGCTTGGATCTCAGTCCTGCAGAGAAACTGAGAGTAGATACACTGGATTAATAGGTGACTGACAGCCTCACATAGAACAACTAATGGAGCAGGTAACTGTCAACAACAAAGGAAGCTGTTCAACAAGCTGCCAGCAGATGTGGTGCAGTTATGTAGCGTATCAGCCCTTCTCAGCTGCCGCAGACAAATGCCACTTGTTTCCCAAGGAGGCTCCTCCACCATCCTGATTTGATGCACTGTGACTGTAGAGAGTTTTAGCAACACAAGGTGTGTTCTCCTGTTTTTCCACTGTCTCGGGACTGCTTGAAAGCAGGGTAAATCTAAGCAGAAGACCGGATTAGGGTTGCTTAAACTGCTTTCATCCAAGGAGTGTAAGCAAGGAATGAAAGAGATCAGAGTGGCAATATCTCTTACAGCTAGCTGTAAACTATGCAAAGCAATGGTTCATAAGGCCGTGAATGGCAGATGCAGTGCCAAAATACCTAACTGTAGCAAGCAGTAGTTGAATGACATCCTTCACAATATTGTACAACTTTTCTCTTGAAGGGAGAAACTAATTGAGAGTATCCTTCCAGTTTAGAAAGTGATCTTTTAGAAAGTGAGTTAGGGTTAATGTTGCAAAACTAAGGAATAACACAGAAATAATGCCTCCCAATGTTTTATACCACTAACAGAATTTGTGTCTCTAAAGAATCCTTCTTGTCACTTAACATCCTTTGTGTTATGTGGACCTAAACATCCCTTAAATAGGATTGTAATATGGATAATTTTTCAGAAACCTAAACCTATGGCACATGCATTTAGGGGATGGGAAATGATCAGAAAGGGGCGCCTTGTAGAAAGAGACATCTTGTGCTGTTCCATACCCGTCACTGGGCAAAAAAGTGCATACTTTCAGGTTGTCTAGAACTCTTCATTAGGCTTGGTGGTGCAAAAAACAGGAACTGAGGGAAGAAATGGTCCAAAAATTGGTCAGAAATAGTGGCCATGATGTCCGCATAGACCCAGGCTCAAAATGGAGATTGCAGACCAAATGAATTCATCAGTGATAAGTGTTGCAATATCAGATTAAAGGTAAAGGTTTCCCCTTGACCTTAAGTCCAGTCATGTCTGACTCTAGGGGGTGATGATCAGTCTGTTTCCTAGCTGAGGGAGCCAGCGTTTGTCCACAGACAGTTTCCGTGGTCATGTAGCCAGTATGGCTAAACACCAAGGTACACAGAATGCTGTTACCTTCCCACCAAAGTGGTACCTTTTTATCTACTTGTATTTGCATGCTTTCGAACTGCAAGGTTGGCAGGAGCTGGGACAGAGCAACGGGATTCAAACCGGCGACCTTTCAATCAACCAGCCCAGCAGCACAGCAGTTTTAAGCCCCTGTGCCACCTACATCCCAATATCAGATTACACATAGCAATATTCTGGGGAGTGAAAGAAAGGCTGACTCTTCAATTCTGAATGTAGAAAGGCTAGCTCCAATTAAGTTATTACAGAACTGTGGATTTTGCATTCTTTTGTTTCTGAAGGAACAGCACGGGCATTGTTTAAATGTATTGCATTTAAATGCTACTCTACAGCTGAAACCCTCTGGGTGGTTCACAGCAATTAAAAACATACAATACAAAATGATAAAATGCAATATAAAAGTGGTTAAAACTACTGTAGAAAATTAAAAAGAATTATCAAAAACATAGCAGTGCAAAGAGTTAAAATACGATAACAATTTTAAAAGAACAGAAGGTAAAGGTATATAATGCTTGAGAAAATAAGAACTTTACCTGTAACCAAAAAAAGCACAATGTAGGTGCCAGGTGAGCTTTTCTGAGAAATTAATTCTACAGCTGGGAGGCCACATCAGAAAAGGTCCTCTTCTTAGTAGCCCCCCCCATCCCACTTTCTTTGGCACATGGCTCTCAGAGAAGGTCTATTGAAGATGACCTTGGGGTCCAGACAATTATATATGGGAAGAGATGATCCTTCAGATGTCCCAAGGCACAGAATGGAACAACAGACCATGCAGGTGAAAAGTTCTAGGATAACAGAGCCATGTTGGCCTGACCCTGTTAACAGTCTCACTGCTTTGTTGAGGATGAACTGAAGATTCTGGGCAGTTTGCAAAGGCAGCAGCATGCCAGGATCTGGGCAGCTCCAGGGCTGGTCTAACAGCAGAACAATGGCTCTGGTAGTTACAGGAGTGGTTCCAAACTCTGGTGCAGCTGCCAGGGCCTTCATGAGCACCACCTGGGAGCCCTGGGGGAAGAGCTATTTAAGAGCTGCCTCCTCTTTCAAGAGCTGCCTCAGCATCAGTGATCTCCAGTGATTGAAGGCCCCCTCTGCCCCGCACCCTCACCAGTTCCTGACCTTCAGCCTGTTGTATGTTCTTGCTTATCGAACGATATCTTGCCTTGTTCCACTGCCTATTCCTGGTTCTAACCTTGGCCTATTTTGGACTATTACTTGAATTTGTTCCTGGACCGGTTATTGAATGCTGTAGTTGCTTCATCTTGATTCCAATTGCCTGGGTTCCAGTACATCTGTCTAATACTCTGCCACCCATGGCCTGAACCGTTATGTCCATGCCTTGTATAACAATCTGCAGTAATCTAGATGAGAGGGTATCAGAACATGGAGAGCTGTAGCTAGTCTATTTCTGTCCAGATGAAAATTTAATTGGTATAGCTGATGAAAGATACTCCATGGCACCAAGTCCACCTGTGACTTAAGTAACCATGCTGGATCTAAGCATATACCCAACTATGAACCTGATCTTTTGGGAGTGTCACCAGCTGCACCTCCATCTTATCTGGAGTCTCAGTTCACTGATCCTCATCCAGTCCAGGACCACATCCCATATTGGTTCAGAACACTCATGGTTTTACCTGGATTTGATAAAAGGGAAGTAGTGCTGGATGTCATTCACATGTTGGTAATACCCAGTTCATACCTCAGGATAACCTTCCCCAGTGGTTTCATGTAAAAACTGAACAGTATGAAGAACAGAAGAGAGCCCTGTGGAATCCTGCAGCACAGAGCAATCTGGAATTAGCCACCCTGGTAGGATATGAGTCACTCAGTGCCACGCAGTATCTTCAACTTCCAACCCAGATAGGCTATCCAGAAGGCTACCCTGGTTGACAGTAGCCAAAACTGCTGAAAGATCCAATAGAATTAACAGGGTCATACTCCCATTGGCCATCTCCCAGCAAAGGTAATTTGGCAAAGTGACCAAGACAGTTTTCATTCCAAAACCAGGCCTGGTGCCTGGTTGAAGTGACTCTAAATAGTCCATTGCATTCCAGGGGGCCTGCACTCAAGCACTTTGCTATGGAGGAAAGAATAGTAACATGAGCTCTGTGGTAATTATGTTGTTAGCATCTTCTGAGTCTGTGTTGTTGTTATTAGAAATGGCCTAATTAGCAACTGCTTTAAAGAGCCTGGCATCATTCCATCTCTTACAATGTTTTCAGCCTTCTGGGCCCAGCTGTGTATCCCCTCCTTATTAAATGTCATAGGCCATGGAGGGCAAAGGTCAAGCACACAGGTTGGCACCTGGGTTTGGCCAAGCACCTTGTCTGCCTTATTGGCCCTAAGCATCTGAAACCAGTTCATTGACATTGAACCAGATGGTACTCTGGAATCCTTCACTAATGGAGCTGCATTAACTATGGCTGCCAAGGTATGATGAATGCAAGTCCTCTTCTTTCAGCACTGCTGTCAGATCTTAAGCTGCTACACACACTTCCATGGAAGTACATCCCATTGAGCATAATAGGGCTTGGTTCCAAGTAAACTTGCAAAGAACTATATTGTTGAGTAGGCAAAAGCACTACAGGATTATGATCTGCCTTACTGTATGTTATTTGGGCTGCAGAAAGAAGAGCCGTGTGTTTACATGAGCGTGTCACCCCGATGTCTGTCCAGTTCCTCAGCAGTTTATTCACACACTGATTATTAAGTGACTGGGTTTAGTTTTACTGTTATGATGTTCTTGGTTTTGGTTTAAAAGTGCTCACGTACAAAGGATGCCACTTCAACAAATCAAGCCTACTTGAGCCTTTCAATTTAATATAAAGCCTACAGTTCTGTGGCTTTAGAAAGGGTAGGACCTACAAGTAGGAACAAGAAGAGTTGAATGGCACCAGCAGAACCTTTTAAGCTACCCAGTGGATGCAGCTGCCCTATGTGTAATAGCAGTATCTAAAGAGAGTGGTATCCTGTTGGACAACAGCTGCACAAAGGTGGTGGCGGCAGTGAGTGCAAAATCCTTTGTGCCATCATTCAGCTGCAAAGAAGGCAAGTAAAAGATGCCATTCCTAATACTTAGTGTTCATTATGAAAGTGATTTCAAATCAAAAGTCACAATATTGATATTCCAGGAAGAAGTGGAATTTCTTTATTTCAGGAAAGAAAAACAGGATGGGGGAACAGAAGCAAAATCCAAGGCTAAACACATTGCTGTATTTCTGACAATGAAATATACCAGTCAGTTATCATCGTTGAAAGAGTTGCTCAGACTGCTAGATTGTCTTGAAAACACAGATGAAAAATTGCACCATTTCGTCCTGACCTGACCCCCCATGCAGAGCACAGAATGATGGTTATTATTTAAGGCATTTAGAACTTTGTGCACAGGCAGAACCCCTCTGGCATACCAGACGGGTGTGCTCCACACTTCTTTCTGAGATGATCATTATCAATAGAATATATCCTGCTATCGCTATAGCATTCAGCTAAAATGGAGGTTCAAATAAATACTGTCAGCACACACACACACCCTTTCCATTAAAATAACCGGAGGCTGTTGTCTAAGTGTAAGTGGAGTCAGGCACTCCGGTTTACTGTTAGGATTAGGGCAAGAAATGTGTGCTGAGTAATGTTTCTAAAATCCCAAGAGAACTGTTTTTAAAATGCCAAGCTAAAAATGGGCAGTTTTAGGAACATCCCAGAAGACTCTAAAGCAAAGGAAAGTGCATTCAACAGAATGTGCAAGTCACACATCGCTGGTTTAGCAAGAGTCATTTTGAAGTTTTGATTAGTGATTTCAAGGCAACTCGATTTCTAACACTGGATTTGGAGTATTTGGTTGTTCTCATAGTAGCCTAAACAACACTTGTAATTTATTATTGGACATGGTATTCGGTAATTAATACAAGAGGAAATGTAATACTAGGCAGTGCTTAAATAAAAATAAATACAAAATATTAACAATGGGGGTGAGCATAGGATAAAGAACCCCATCTTTCATTTATGGGAATTATAGAAAGCTCAAGTTAATGGTGTATGTGTAGAGATGAGAAATATGGACGTTAATAGCCCTATATTCAAAACCCTCTGCCATACAGCACCTAAGTGAATGGCAGGTGGGCTGATCAACCTGAACCACCAGAATATTGTGTAACTGATGCCTTTCTATGTACAGATTAAGACATTCAAAACAGTCTGGCATTTGGTTACACAAAAATCTGTCCATCATTTTATTGCAAAATGCTGCATGTGAGCACAAGTGCACACACGCAAAGGTTCCTTGCTTGTTACAATGTGCTCAGCTCCGACTGTTATGACTGGAAGGAAAGGGAGTATTCGCAGGGCATTTATCTGATGAAGGCCCTCCATGGCTATTTGCTGTCACATGCTGACAATGCACGAAGACAAACGGTTACTCTTCTTTCCCCATAAACCCAGCCCTGGCTCTCAGGGCTTAGATATCTATTAGTTCCTTACAGATCACAACCACCAGCTGCTACTACAACCCGAGAAGCCAAATCACTGCATGACAGCAGAAGGGAGCAAAGCATGCCATGCAAATGCTCCCGAAAAAGAGCCAAGCTTTCTGTGCACATCATTAGCAACCGATCTTCAGTATCTCCCCCAGAAGCAAACAAATGCTGGGCTAGCTCACAGAGGGCACTGGTGTGTAGACTATGCACATGACAGGGTAGAGAGGTCAACTCTGGCCGCATGTTCTTTCCCTTCCAGGGCATGCAGTACTTCAAATGCAAACCAGGGTTTAGACACACAGGCAGCTATGTGAGCAAGCCCCACTCAAGGGTCCTTGGAAAAAAGTGGCGGGAGGTATGGTGGAAGCCTTCTGACATAGCTACACGTGCCAGCCCCTGGTCCCATTCACATTTCTGCCCGTGGTGGGGGACCACGCGCAAATCCAAGACCCGTGTCTCCCCTGTATCGTGCCGCAGTTGCAGTCTGCTCACCAGGTCTTATGCGAACCAACTTTCTGATGTAAATACAATTAGAAACAGCAAGCTAACTGCACAACAAAGAGAAAAAAATAAATAATTTGTTGAGCTAAGTCAAAACTAACAACAAGGATATATTTATATTTCTTTTTGGCATTTTCCATCTGGCACTCTACAGTCTGGATGGAGAATGCAAGCAAATTCCCATTTTCATCTGAAGAGACTAGCTTCCAGTCAGTCATCCAATTTTCTGTCTTTTTCTTTTAAATAAAACACACACAATGTCTTTATTCAGTGTGTTCCATGTCAATAACTAACAGAATAAATATACACAACAATGGATCTTACTTTCCTATCTCAGGGCTGGCTAATAAAACATCCAGTATAGCTAATGGCTACTCACTTCCACACACTTGCTTTTCTTCATTTTTTCCTACTCTACACATTGTAGTCACAGCATCTCTTATTCTAGTGCTAAAGAAGGACCAAAGAGTTTTCACTAACAAGAGTTCGAAACACATAAAAAGTTTGACAGTACTAACTAATCCAGGAAATTGAATGTCAATTATTTCTGAACGGGTTTTTTATGGAAATTGATTACTTATTTTTGCTTGGATCCAGTGGCTCCTTGCAGGCACAAGAGTGGAAAGCAAACACTGAGCTTATGAGCATGCAGGAGCATTCCCATTCAATTCAATCCTTTAAAGTGAATGGAGAAACTCTCCTTGCAGGATATACTGGGCTACCTGCATGCTAGAACATCTGTAGTTTGAGCTTAGATAATATTCTACCTCCAACTATTTATATTAGGCTGTTGGCACCAGGCTATAGTCCAACTCACTTCAAAGCATGCTTTGTAACAGGTTTTCTGTTCTTTGAAGCAATGCTCAGAAGGCTGCCTCCCACTAACTCCATCACTGTGCATTTCTCCGTAACTAATCCATGTTTAATGTTGGTAGCTGTCAGTCTTACTGCATCCTCACTTTAAAACAAAGCTAAAAATTCTGTCCAGAATTCCTTCCTGAGCCATGCCATTCTGCATTTTGCAAGCCCCCACCCTCAATCCATGTCTCCTGGCAACGAAAAACTGGATTCTACTCATGTGTCTCGATTCCGACAATACGATTTTATCCCAGCCCACATCCAGCACCTCATTTGAGCCCAGTCAAACTCTGCTATGCTGAGGACTCCAGCCTAGCTTTCTGGGACAAAGACAAGAGCTGCACCATGATGTAGCTGCAACAACATTGTGGGATGAGCAACAGAAACTGTTGTGGTGGTGAAGCTCTGTCTGATACCTGTGGTGGTGTTAGGATTCTTTTTGAACCCCATCCCTGCAACAGGCACTTCCCATTTGTTCAGCTCAAATGCAGAAGCAGTTCAGGAAAATATTAGTTTCACTTTCTTCGCTCCATTAGCACCTTCATTTCTGTTTTCCATACTGGCAGCTCTAAAGGAAGCCAAGACCCACAACTACTTTTCTCTTTAAAGATCTTGCAAAGTAGTTGGTTTATCCAGTGGATTCACATGCATGAAAGTGACTATGCTAAAGCATCCGCACTGCATGACTTGGCACATTCCAAGATGCTTTGGGACATGGCAAATGAAAATCCAGACCAGGGAAGGCTTCAGAGGACCAGTCCCACATGCCCAAGTCCACTGAAGAAGTCAGTGTGGGCTGACTTAAGAAATGGTAATGTGAGTGTAAAAGTTATGATTAGGGCATATGGATTTTTTCCTGTACTAAAGTCTCTTGTGCATACGATAATTTCAGATAAAATACTGTATGGCTTGAGAAAATTTTAAGGGCGGTGCAGGAGATGTGTGGCTCAAAATAGTTTTTGATAAAGGTCAACTTCTGATTTTGAGCTGATGCTTCCCTATTTCTTACGATTATCACCTTTCCCTGTCTGAAGGTCTTTGCCACATGTGTCCAACGCTGGCAGAGAATGAAGCTCTTTGTGTGAAAAAAGTTATCTCCTCTGCTGACACTTGCTTTGCTAAGCACAGAAATATCTTTTCTTTATCTTGGGATTGCCTAGGAAATAAGGAAACCTCAAATATAGAGAGATTGAAGCAATCAAGCAATCAAACAAACAAAAAAGAACTAATATTTCTCTTGTAAGGTGCTATTTCCGATTAATTTGGAGCAACTCCCATATGTACATTTTTAAAAGAAAAGCAAATGAGACTATGGCTATTGCCAGCTTAGTTTCTCTAATTATTAAATGGTTTTGGATGCTTGTTACTAATCCATACTGGGGCACCTCCAAGCAGCAGGTTTTTCTCTTTATGTTCCTGGGTTGGACTTAATGGCACCAGATATAGCAACTATCTCTAGGGGAACTATAACTGGGAAACTCTCTCTTCCTCCCCCTGACTGTGGAAGGAGACTAGCATGAGACTCATGTAGCCATCAATTGTGTGGAACACCGCCAGAGTTGTACTAGACAAGGCATCGCCCACACTGAAATCGAGGGACTTGGAAGACCCAAACCACCATCCTCAGTCCCTAAAAACAGATCTTACGTATGAGCCGGATTCACACAATTTACTCAGCACATAAGCTTCAGAGAACAAGGAAAGTTTGTAAGAAGCAGCACCTAATGGGCCGCATCCTCAAGGAATTTATTTGCATACACTTGAAAGAAACCTCAGGCAGTAAGTCCACATTCTTACAAACCGATTACAAGACAGAAAACCTGTGTCAAGACTGTACCACAACAAAGCAGTACATGATTTAATGCTCCTGTTTACAACACAATGATCTGCACATAGAAGACTGGCATAAGTCAAAAGAAGAGTTCTATGCCAGAATATTCTGAACTCCTCTCCTGACATCTAGATTCTATATACATGAAATATTTTTGTATAACATGGTAAGCCACCAACTGATACTCCAACTATGGTCGAAGTGGTATGGTCTAGACACAGGTTAAATACTGTCTGAGAGAATTAGGTTTTGGCAGTCTAATCTTTTCCAATACTCTGTTTATGGTCTACTTTATGGATAATACTAATGGGCAATACTTTTCTGATTCTGGTCTTCTTGACTCTAGTTCTAATTACCCAAATATCCAATTTTGTACACATGTCGAGAGACCCAACCAAGCATGTTTCTTCTGAAATGAAAGAAAAACTTTTTTGAATGACATCAGCCTGAAATCTATACAAAATGTTTATAAACCAAATTGGGGTTAAATCTGCAAGGCAGGAACATTCTGCAGGATGAGTTCATCATGCTTAGTGTAAACATAGTTTGAGCATTTGCTCAGACCAATCCAATTTGCCATCAATTATGGAATTTAAAGCAATCCTAAATCTTATTTTACAGTAACTATGGTTTAATATGAACTGTCAAACTGACCCCATTAGAGGCAATGTAAAAATAACAATGCACGACTTTATAACTTCACACTGAGGGTGGGGTGAGGGAGTGGCCACTTGTGATTGTACTGGCAATTTCTAAAGTCAGCCTCCTTCAGCAAAAAGGAAAGAGCAAGAAAAAAGGCAGGAAAAATGCCCAGAATGGGAGATGAACTCCTATAGCCCCACTGCAGAAGACATTCAAGCAGGCACCTGCAATGAAACATACTTGTTAGAGAAACCAAGCACGGAGAAGGGACACACCGTTACACCTGGCAAACCCTCGTCCTGATGAAGTCCAAAGGAGTATCCAGAGGAAGTTCCCTTTCGTCTGCAAGCCACCCCCAGATAAGATAAAAAATAAAATTCAAAGTTTACAGAAGAAAATACTGCTCCCATCAGGTCATGTATATATACATACAGCATGCCTACATACATAAAATGGTGCGGCGCTGTAATTCACAAACAGGAAATACGGCAGTGCGCGATCAGAAGCTTTAGATACTCCAAGTGTGTTTTTTTCCTCCAATGCTGAGAAAAAGAATAAGGAAAGGGGAAAAAAGGGAAAGAAACAAAACCCAAACCCAGCATTCACAACTCATTTACTTCCAGTAGCAAACAGATCATTTTGTTCGTGCATCCAGGAATTAGTGTTCTTCTGCAGAATTGCCACTGGTGAGATACCCATTTGTTCCATTTGCTCCACTCATCCCATTGGTAGTGGCTGAACTATGGGAGTTCTTTGAAACAGGAGTCGAGGGTTCTTCATCTGAACTAGACTCAACATCACTTCGGTCATCTCTTGCCTGCAATAGGTGCGAGAAAAAAGAGGAGGAGGAAACAGGCTGGAAGCTATTGCATGGTTGAAAGGAGATAAATTCTCATGCTCCTTTCTGTCCAGCCCCCAAATCAGAGGCCAGAAAACTGCCACACTTCAAGTCTACTTTTAAGGTTCCCATGTATTTGCTCTGGAACATGCAGCTGGATGTGTTGAGAGAAAGCTGTTTCTGAGCAATTATACTTAAAATACATGGTGGTTGCACCTTAAAAAGTGCCCATGAGTGAGGGGAGCTGACTTCTTGTGCTACTTTATTTCAACCCAGTTCACTCCTGATACTGGATGGGCTGGCAGGGAAAGGAGCTTGGTTACAGAATGCAGGGAGATGGAGGCAAGAGGATTGAGCTGCCCTCACCCAGATGTTAAAATGAGCCCCCAGCCTGCGCTTTATGCCCGTGAAGAATCAGCAATGCCTGCCCCGGTCACATCTGTTTGAGTCAGAAAACTTGCTCACCGCTGGTGCCCTGCGCCCTCCTTCCATCCCCACCTTTATGCCTTCTGCCTTGCTACTACTGGCATTTGTGTCTCAACATTTTTGGGCCAGTTTTCAAAAAGCAAGCAAACAAAAACACTCTTATTCTTTCACAGAGCCTCCCAGAACAATCTTCAGAATCCCTTGTCCCCACCTGTGTTGGCACCTGATTCACCCCAGTCTAACTCAGTTCTCCTTTACTCCCACTCCGTTGCACAGATAACTAACCTTGCCTGAGGCACATATTGAAGAGGGTTGGGGGGGAAGAGGGAAACACTGGCTGTTTCCTTGCCCTTTCCCACTCCCCCTCCACTCCCTCCCAGCACAGTAAGGAAGGGAGCAGCAGAAAGGCACAACGTTCTTTCATGAGAATAGCTCCACTGGACCAGTGCAAAGGCCAAATTGGTTTAACCTTCTGCTCCTATAGTGGCCAGGCAGAGGGCTCAATGGGAAGCCCACTGCAGAACCTGAACATGAAGGTGGCACTCCCCCCTTCATTTTCTCCACCCACAGCCAAACACAGGCATACTGCTTCTGATCCTGGAGGCAATATACAGCCATCACAGCTAGAAACAATGTGAAGGCTTGTCTTCTCTATTTCTGTTTCCTGTATCGCTGGGTTTGGCAAACAGGAAGGCAAGTTCAGGCCAGGAGACTGCAGCTGACTGTACTTATGGGCCCTGCAGGATGACCCTGTTCTGCATCACTGCTAGCACACTGTTGGAAAGCAGTCATAGTAATGACAGAAATATGAATATAGTTTAAAAGGGATCATGCAAGCAGCTTCAGAAATGCTACAGGTTCTGTGACAGTGAAGAGGCAAGGCAAGGCTGAGAGGTGGAGAAGGAGCAGCAGAGAAACTCTGTTAACTGGGAAGGCCATGGGTAAATCGAGGAGGCATTTAAGGGAACCAGAGTAGCAGGCTGCATAAATACTCATGGACATCCTGCCCATGAGTAGCACTGGTACTGGCAGAGAAGCATGGTGTGAGGTGAGCAAGCCTGCAATGATGAAGTGTGGCCTGAGGGACCATGGCATCCAGGGCCTTCAGCGTCTAGCTGGATATGTATTCCACAACTACCACATGCCCAGTTCAGTAATCTAAGCCATGCGTATAAAGTTCAAATGGCAACCACAAGCCATCAGCATCACTTGAATACAGTGCTCTGCTTACTGTTGCTGAAAGGAATATCAAAGTGATATCTTGACCAAACAGATGGAATAACTCAAATTTCAGAGTATTTTCACATAGGTTTGCAAGCACTTTCAAGCACTTTCTTGTATTCTCCTCCCCCTGAGCTTGCAGATCACTGACAGGACAGGGATGCGGGCAGTTTTCTGTTGTAAAGTTCAGTTGGAACATGTTTGAACAGCTAAAGATGCAAGTTTGTATTTGCATTTTCTGTATTTAAACTTTTCACTCCAGAGTCACATGGGCTTTGGAGTGGGTATCCATGGAATTTTAAATGTCTGTCTATCACACTTATTAAAATATGTTTGCATACTCAAAAGTATGCAATCTTAAGCATAGAGAACACAAAGAAAGGCAGCCTAAGAACAAGGAGAGAAGACTTAAAGATACAAAATGAACAAAAATACGCATGTAGGTTGGTAATGTGTCTGTGCTTTCTCCCAAGGAAACTTACATGCAAAGGGTTCCACTTCCCAGCCTTCAAAGGCAGCAGAAAGGAAAGAGTTCAGAAAGTTAAAGAAGTAGTCACATTTGGTTTTGTGTGAGAGGAGTGGCTTCCTACCATAAAAGGGGAACATAAAGTGCAGGTCTGAGACAACTGCTAGGGTTACTTCTAAGTTCAGGAATGGAAGATGCTGCTGGATCAGGACCCACAGAAACCACTTCGTGTCTGAATGCTAGGTGTTTGGAGCAAGTTGTGAGTTCATATTCTGAAAACACACAGGCCTACTTTGCAGATTCAAGGTACACTTGTTGCAATTATTTATTAGTCGCATTTTTATCCCACTTTCTCCAAAGAGCCTGCATTTATCTTCCTCCTACTCCCAAGTTTGCCCTCACAAGAACCCTGTGAGGTAGGTCAGTGACTGCCCCAAAGATACCAAGCAAGCTTTGTGGCTGAATGGGGACTCGAGTCCCTGTCCAACACCTACATCACACTAGCTTCTTAAATACAGCGCATGAAAGCAAACAGAAGCGTATCTGCAGGAGCATGTGACTATTTTTTACAGGACAGCTGGAACGGAGGCCCTCCTGACAAGGGCACACTCAGTGGCAGATGCAGGATTTACAGCCCTTCATGGCACTGCAGTCTTGAGAAGCAAGCTGAGACACTTCATGGTAAGCTGATTCCAAGGCTGAACCAAAGGAAGCTTACATTGCAAATCTGTACCGGAACAGTCCATAGTCGAACCCACCGGACTACTCAGATGGCCAACAATACATAGGTGATTTCAGAACTCCCAGTGTCTACTAGAAACAGTGCAATTCAATGGCAAGACTTCATCATGGATTGTTAAAGTCAGGGACTTTATAGGTATTATGCTGGCAGATTTGTATTACACAAAAATCATACAATACGTAAGAATAATCACTGGAAAACTAGAAGACAAAGCGTAAATAAAGTATCCCAGTTTTTCTTACCTTGCCTTTTACAATAGCTTTATAGGTTGCCTTTACTATTAGATAGGACCAGAAGCAGTGGAGAACTTGAAGAGTCAAAAGCAGAATGGCAAAGATCGACAAGGCAGGAAAGCTGCCAACTATTTCTGGCATTTCCAACAGCACTGTGTTCAGTATCCTGAAGGAAACAGAAAGGCGGAAGCAGGGAGTCAATGTAGAACTGAAGAGCAAACAAGTTCATTTATCAGTGTAGGTCCAGCCCACCCCAATCACAGGTATTCTTTAACTGTGGAAGAAACAGAGCATTCAAGCTGGTTATCTCCTGGAATCTCATTCACATCACCTTCTGTGATCTTTGAGGTGAGCTGGTCCTGCTTTTACATTCCTACAGGATTTACATATTAGTTTCATGGAGGGCAAGACCACACATTGCATTCCAACCTGGCTCTCCCCACCCCCACACGATCACTGTATTTGTATTACATTTATGGCTCCATTTTCTTCCATGGGAGCATTTAAAACAGCATACATGGGATATTCCAAGCAACCTTCCATACAGTCACTGGGCAGACCTATTTCTGCTTATTTTCTTTGACATTTGTTGAACTGGGATCTATTCTACGGGCCTTTTCTTGGTTTGTAATTAAATGCATATGCCTGGGTTTGGTTTAGAGCTTTGATTTTATTTTGTAAAGATCTTGCAGTATAGCAGGTTTTTGCTTACTGGTTGGTAGATGGATTCATATATTATCACAAAATCAGAAAAATGTCCTTGCTACAGGCACTTTTTGAAGGTGACTTTTTATTTTAGATTTCTTTTTAACAAACGAGTATATTGCATGCCATGAAAAAAATACATACTGGAATGAAACAAAAAGCTACCACAATGCTATCCATTTTCTGTTTTTATCAACATGCTATAGACTCTTTTTGTTCTTGAGAAGCCAAGTACCATTTTGTTCCACATCAATAAGGAATGCCAACTATAAATCAGTGTTAAGTAACATGGCAATAAAAACATTTGTGGGTACTTTAGCTCCTGTGATTCTTACTTATGGTGACCAAGATTGAATAATAAGTGCATTGAAGTGCTTGACTAAAGCAAGGAAAAGCCCCATATGGATGAAAGCTCATCCAGTATAAATGTAGTAGATCAACTTTAACCAGCAGATGGCATGTTTAACAAGTTAACTCCAGTTTTCCTTATGGTCTGGGCTGGTGACAGAGAAGCAATAGGTTTGCAATGTTCAGTTAGGGAATTTAAGAGTACATAGTCCAAGTCATGTGAGGAAATAAAAGGAATCTGTGTATCTGGCATTAAGCCTCACACAGGGAACAGCTGAACATTGGGAAGGGGTCCTGGGAGGAGGCTGGAGGCAAGGTACCAAGAAGACACTGCATGAGTCACAGAAAGGTAGAATTGGAAGGGGCAAAGAAGGCCATGCTGTTGCAGAACACCACGTTACACCATCCAGTTTCTTTTTAATGTCTCTAGAGTGGGAGAGCCCACAAACTCTCCAGGCAAATGGTCCCACTGTCATATTGCTCTGGCAGTGAGAAGATGGAAGACAACACTTGGGCAAGAAAGGAGTTTATCGGACAGAGAACTGTGGAAACTCTTCAGTGTCAAAGTTAGGGATGTGTTTCTATCTGCTTAATAGGGGTAAGTGGAAGGTGCTTGAAAGATAATGGCTAAATGATGCAGGATCAACTAAACAGTGGCCTGAAATGTGGAAACATGTGGGATGTGAGTGGAACAAACATGGAGCTGAAGCAGGAGTGAATAAGAGTTGTGTACAAGGAGACAGCGGGAATTTGCAGCACTGCAGGAGGCATCCCATACTGCCACAGGAGCCGTTGCTACCACAGCAGCATCCACCACCCCTCCAGAGTGAGAGCAACGGCCTCAGCTCTGCTAAGCCTCACAAGGTCCAAGTGAAGCATCTGCTAATACAGAGCCAGCCCACTCTTCCATAAAGCATCCAACAGGAGTCCCAAGCTAAGCAGGCATACCCGCCCTGCTGCAACATCCCAGCCAGCATAATTAGTGTAGAGGAAGGACTCAAGGCACTTGGAGCTACAGCCAGAGCAGGACTAGATCTTCTGTGACACCCTCTGAGGCAGACTACCAAATATACAAAGGGCAGCAAGACAGGATGGGCTATGGACTATGAGTAGGGAGGAAGCAGGCACACACGGGATGCAGGATGCTGTCACGGCCACTGTAGCATTGTGCCTCTGCTGCCAAAGAGGACAGTGAGTATCAAGAAGCAGAGAGTGGTAACAGGACCGAATTTCAAAAACTGGCATGCATAGTTCAGTGACGTGTTTGGCTGCTCTGCTGCACTTGGGGATTCAAACAAGGCCTTTGCTTAGCTTAAGCAGCCACACTATAGATCCACTGTCACTTTTTTAACATCTTTGAAAGGATAGGATGGGGGGAAAGGGGCATCCTATTAGCTCACAGCATATTCTGGATCCTGAGGCAATAACACTTTGCGGAGTCAAATGTTACACACTGCCACACCTGCCATGCACTTGGAAGGAGTTACACAAATGTTTAATGTCTTGGTTCATTCAGCCGGGCAACTGGAAAGTGTCTTCTCAGGACTGCAAATGAAGAGCTGCTCCATCCCCCCACCCCGCTTTTTCTCCAGGGATTCATTTGCAATTTATGACCTTCTAGCATTTTGAAGAGAAAGGAAAGAGGTCGAGGAAACACCAGGATATCTTACATTGTTGCTTTCCTGGGCTCTGCCCACTGTAATGCCCCTTTTCACTCTCCCCACTGTCTAATCCCCGACCCAGGAGAGGCAGCTGGTGTGTTTCTTTGTAATCTGGCTGTGAAAGGCAAAGGGATAAAAAAATACTCTGAGGTTGGACCTCCGCCTGTAGCCTTGGATGTAGGGTCCAAAGTACCCTATAGTCCCTAGACACTTTGGAAAATGCATGTTTAGTTTTCTCAATGAAATAATATATCAGCACAGATCAAAGTAAACTGCACAATTTTGTATCTGACTAGGGATGACCAGAGTTATAGTCCAACACATCTGGATGGCACCGTGTTCTACTTGGTAAACTCCCATGAGATATTTTTTAGCATTCTCACAGCATGACTTGATAAGAAATAGGAACTTCCCATTTTATGGACAGGAAAATTCATTATGCACAGAACCCATCTGATCCAGGTTGATTATCTCTGCTGTTCTGCAAAGGAAACAGTCTCGGCATACACAAGTTGATGTTGGGGAATGTGCCAAACTTTTTCTGGCTCATTTAACAGCCACATCATGGTATCTCCCTTAGGCTAGCCTACTTTGCAACATAATTGGAAAGCAGAAGAAATCCTCTCGGCTGAGTCCATTTTGTTTGACAGTATCCATAAGGCCTCCCAGCTGATTAAACACTAGTGCTTTCAGCTTATTTCTCTAGGTCCTTTTCAATCACAATGGAAATTGATGTTTAAGTTACCACAGTGAAATACTCAATTTCTTATCTCTAGAAATGCTCAAGAAAGATGAAAACCCAACTATGCCTGGATCTACCTGGGGGTGCATGTCACATATAAATTCTTCCTGGGGTTACTGCCTCCTAGGGGGAGTCACATATAAAAACAGGCAGGTTTTTGTAACTCTCTTGCAAGCCACTATTACAATAAGACCTTTATTTAAATTCACGTTAAATCCTTTTTGTTCTAATTCCAGATGTATTTATTAAGTGCAACCAATGCAATTAAAACAGACCAAAGCTATGTAAGAGCTATTGATTGCACAAAATTTATGCTCTACTGTTTGATTTTGCTGCTGCAGAACTAGCTTGTTGGCTGACTGAGTTCAAAGAAGGCCAATAACCAACTCAGAGGCTCTGCTCTCCTAGACCAGCTTTAATGTGCAAAAATAATTCTCTAATAGAAAGATTGCCATTTGAAGCCAATTCAGTTTGTTCTTTAGAGGGCTGCTTTTTCATTCTTGCACATTACTTGATACTATGCAAATCACTCCCATCAGTTCCAAGTGAGGACTACTTCTACTATAGCATTTTCCCCTCCACAGAAAAAAGAGCAAACATGCAGTGAAGCAGAGGATAATATGATGGGAATCGCAAGTTTCTCAGTTTGCAGATACACAGCTGGGCTATGTGATGATCCTCACATAGTACAAATGTACATGTCCTCAGGCATCGCACAAGGTTTGCCACTGTCTAAAACAGGAGGCAAGACCTGGTGCTGTTGCCACGTTGCACCACCCTCCTACTTGCTCTTTCCTCGGTTGCCACGCTGACCCCATTGAGCTGCATGGCCAGAAGAAACAGCCTGAGGGCCCTCACACAGCTCAAGCGCTCCCTGACCACACATGCTGAGGGAAAGAGAGGGCGGGTGGCTGTTCTAGAGGGCCTCACTGGCTGAATTTTCATTGTGGCAAATGCCACAGCAGGAAAGCTGCTGGTAGAGGCTTCCAGGGTACTCACTGGAGGCTTCTGTGGTGACCCCTGCTGGTGGGGATGGGTATAATTTTTTGTTCCTCCCCCTCTGCCACCAATGCCAGCACCTCACCCTATTTCTTTGGTGGATCAGTCCTGCACTGCCTCCTTCCTTACATCCGTGTAGAGCATGTTGCATGGAGAAGCAGCATCAGCCCTGAACAGCTTCAGTGTTCATGGATGCTTTCTGATTTGGATTCTGGAACTTAACCTGAAATGCTACATCTTACTGAGATACCTGCCATCGTCTCTTTCATTTGCCTTTATTTACACAGGAAAATCATGGAGAAATCTCCTTCTCATTTTATGCCATAATAAAAAGGAGTGCACAAATAACCTGGACATAAGGAGGCTTTTAAGCTCTTGTAAGGCTGTTAATCACTGTATCTACTTTCAGTTTTGTCACAGAACTGAGATCCAAGCTCTATACAGCTTTTCCTTTCCTGCTTTTCTACAATGTAACCTCTAGGTGGTGCTGTGCTATATTGCAATCATACAAGTAGGAAAATATGTTTTCTTTCACAAACGCTATTTTCACACTCTAAAAAGAGCGAGAAAGCACTCTTTAAAAAGAGAAGTGAAATTGGGGGGTCCATATATCATCTAAAGAAGCATTAAGTACAATAATTATTTTGTGCAGAAAAGCTCTCACTCCACTGCAGATCCCTCAGTTGTCTGAGAACTGTGCTCTTACTTATCTTGTTGGTTAATCCAGTGTTCACCAAGCCAAGACCCATTTCTTTTCCACATCCTTTTAATTTTTACCATTACCACTGGCTTAAATGAATAATTAAAAAGGGAGACAATCCTAGTTCCAAACTTGGATCATATTTCTCGTGCAAACCTAAAACCAATGTACTCTAATGAATCTGCACAGTCCAGATGACTGCTGTTATGTTTAAGATGTGATTACAATGAAGTAAAGTAGCATAACAAAATGCTGCTGCACTTTTACTTAATGGAAAAATAGTTAAAAAGAAACACAACCAAAAACCCATGTTTCAGAACACAGAGATTTATAGAACCACTTAAACAACTATTGGGAAATTGGTCAAACAGTTTGAATTACTTTGTGCTTGACTCCTGCAACTCATTACAAAGTGTTTCACTGTGCTGACACAATTAGAGACTGGCCTCACAATGATATCCTCTTATAACCATGCGTGGAAAGCAATGTGTGATTCTGGACTGTGTCAGGGAACATATGGTCCACCCAATTTCTCTTCTCCTTCCAACAAAAACAGTTTGAAAGAAAGTGGAAATTAATGACAAGGGTGTTCATCAAGCCAAGACTCCATTGTTTCCCCACTGTTCACTTTTACCACAGGCTCAAAAAGTGCAATGAATAAATAAAAAGGAAGACAATCCTCATTCAAAACTTGGATTGTATTTCGCATGCAGATCTAAACCCAATGTACTCTAGTGGCTCTGTGCAGTCACTTGCTTTCAACCCATTTCTTCTCCAGGATGACTGCAAACAATGTTTCCCAAGAATCAGCTAACTGCTGTGGTCCTTCGGTGAATGAAATTATGAAAAGCAACCACAGCTCTTGAGAAAGAGAGGCAAGTGGCCACGGCAGTCAGTTACCAGACTTAAACATGTGATTCCTTGGAAGGGGGGCATTTACTCACCACAAAGGATATATTCCAAGCCTTGTAATAATGAAAACAATAGCAAACACGAGGAAGAAGAAATCACACAGTCTTTGAAACTTGCAGTAGTTTGCCATTTTGGCTGCCTAGAACAAGAAAGTAACATAGGTTATCTCCTTTATAATATGGCGAAACATTTTTTCAACAAATACTAACAGGCAATTTGTTCCCAAACATGCATCATTCATCATGATTCTTTCATTGCTCTTGCCTCTTCCATTAACAAGCGTCACACAGTATCTCAAGGGCAAAAGTTAACACTATCCACTAGCATCTCTCATCTTTGTACATGTCTCTACTGCAGCACACCATTTTAATGTTTTAATTGTGTTAGTTTAAAAGGTGGCTCTGATACTATCTCCACCATGGGTTGGGTCCATGTTGGTCACCCTCTAGCAGAATGGAAATTGTATTTCCCCAAATTTGTTTTGGGGTGGGGGTGGGGTGCATGTGGGAAGCTCTAGGGGAAGAACCGTTTTCCTAGGGGAAATCTGTTCATAAATCTACTCATGCAATGTTTGAATTATCTCCGTATCTAAACCTAAATATCTTTGTTCAGAAATCCCAACTTCAGCAGGACTTAGCTCCAAGTAAGACCTTGGATTTCCACAGCTTTTTCATCTTTCATCCTGTTTGTTAGTTTTGGTGTACGCACATGCACACACACACACTCACTCTATGTGTTTCCTGAACATATTACTGATTTTCCAAGCTCTTTCTCCTTTAGCAACATTGGAACTTCAAAGACAGCCATACTGCATAGACAAACAGTCTTCTATGCATTCTGGTTCCTTTTCTCCTTTCTACGGGTTGGGAGTGAGAAGGATAATGGTTTGGGTGTTCATTGTCAAGGACTGCTGGCTGGACTTCAGCAGAATCCTAACTGGCATGTGAAACAGAATTGGGGGGGGGTAGAGTGGATGGGCTGTGCCAAGACACGGAGCTGAAAAAAGCTGAGGCGCTTATGTCAAGGCCAGGCCTCTCAGACGTGGAGACAGCCCATGGGAATGCTCAGGATATATAGCAGGCGGGAGTTTCTCAGGTGAAGGCCAGGCAGCCAAGCCTCTTGACCCCATGATACACCTCCATGTATTTGGAGGCAGTCCAATTACAGGATTGACATGTGGAGAGGAGGTGTGCTTGCTTTCAGAAGGCTCTCCTGAAGGGATGGGAGTCAGGCATGTTCATAAGGATAGTTTCTAGAGGTGATTACTAGATGAGGTTCAACAAACCACTCTGTGCATGCTGGATGATTTGTGCTTTTGGGTCAGTAAAACATGCATTCTAAGTCTCTGGCTTTTGAATGCTCAAAGGAAGAACCTTGTCTTCTGACACTATGCTTCCCTCCATCATTTTTAGTCAAGCTTCCTGTTGCCAACTTGGCCATATCTATGTTCTTTATGGGTGGGTTTGCACAACACAAGCCACTGTGGAGTTTTCTAACCGTAGAAACCTTGTTGTGGTATTTTGGCATGCTATGTTTGATCTTTAGAAAACATGAACAGAAACAACTTCCAAGCATCATGTGGTGGATTGCAATCTTAGAGGGTTTATGTTTTAAAATATGGTCCATGGTATCTATCCAGTACAAATTTACACAAACACTTTGTGAAACAAACTTCAGTAGAACTGAAGCTTTCATAAACTGTAGCTCATTTGTTTAGACTCATTTTTGTGCTAGGAAGAGACATTTTAGACAGGCAAATTATTATTATAGGTCGCACTCTCTCACCTCCAATACAGCATCAACTACATCGTGAAGACACAGAGTCAGGCTCCCCACGCGTGTGAAATTGACTGTATAGGAGATGGTTAGCAACATGATTGTTATGATATGATGTGTAAACATGATGCCAAAATCCTGAGATAGAGAAAGAAAAAGGGGAAAAGGGTTAAGCAGTCCAACAAAACTCAGTTTGGATTTCTCAACATGTAGAGTCAGAAGTTTTTAAAAACTGTAATTAAAATTCTGCATATGGGAGGAAATAACAGGTCTCAAGTGAAGAAGCCCCTGGCTTCCATCATCTTGAGGGCCCTTGGAGAAGCACCGTCCCGGCCAACTCGTTCTACCTACTACAGATGGGCTGAAATTTAGACAGGTACCTTCTGGCTCCTGATGCCCTACAGTTAATTTCCTGTTCCTGTTTCCCTGTTCTTTTTTTCTGTACACATTCAAGCCCTGTGAGGCCAGGTCTCCCTAATTACACCAAGAGAAACAGGTTGAAACCTGCATGCAGTTATGTTGATTTACCTTGAATTCCTGCCTCCTGCCCCCACATACAAACCAACACAGTAAGTAAAACAGCACACATTTCTTAGTTCTTCTATCACCATCACCAAGAAGAATGTAAAACACAGCCTATCGTATTGATGAGCATTTTACTATTTTATAAATGTATCTTCATGTAGCTTTTCCCCATGGAAACATGAAGAGATTGCTTTAGGTAGGGTCCAGACGAGTTTAAAGAATATCAGAGTAAGTAGTTTAATACCATAGCAATTTTCTTGCCACTTGCACAACCCAAAGCAGCAAAAGCAGCACTAAACAGCACTACTGTTAGCATGCAATGCTTTCAAAGGGATCCCACTCAAAAGTAATACACAATCATAAACAAAGATACAGTAAGATCTAAATACTCATCTACTGAAGTGGATTTTGGTACGAGTGTAGGTGACATCTAACACAAAATAATGTTTTCATTCTGCTCTGATATTGGGCTCCACTTGTTTCCATTCAAAGGGCCTCATTCCCCCACCTGCCACTCCAGAATCCTGCAGCAACTTAATTCCTGTGTTACTTCCATTTACTATTTCAAGTAGCTTAATGAACAGGAAATGTCCTCCCCTCCATTACATTTAAGGGCATCCATCTGAAGTTGAATCTACCACCATCAAATCAATCGAGCATTTATTCTTTTCTCCCCATATTGGGAAAGAACTGTTGTAACCCCCCCCTCATAATCGAAACATGCAGCCAGGGCATGGCTCGTCACGGGTAAAAAGCATGATCAGGGTGTCCTGTGCGCGTAAGAACAAGAACCCCCAACGAATGTGCATGCTACGCAAGGATGAAAACAAAGCAGGCTACGCTCAAGCATAACCGCAGATGTCACGCCCTTGTACCCTCGCTTGCTTGCTTCAGCATGAAAAATGTGCAAATGTAGCTCAGTGGGGTTCCCCTATTGTTCGCTGTTATTCAAGCACCTGCATAGTTGTAAAAGAGTATAAAAAAGCTGCATTCTTCTGCTCGAGACCGCACTCCAACGAGTGTGGTCCCTGCAGGTAAATAAATCCCCTCTCGAAAATTCCAACTAGTCTCTGGTCTCATTCGTAAAACTGCGCCATACAACAAGAACATATTGCAAAAAGAAAAGGGAAAATGCAAAGAAGGAAAAGGTCTCTCCAAAGCTTTCACGATGATACTCTGTGCTTTGATCCTTCTCTTGACTCTTGTTTTTTGATTTCAACCAAATAGAAATTAAGCTGTAAGACAGTCAATCTGAATGGAAAAGCAAGTTCAGCTGTCTTCTTTCTTTAACGTCATTTTCACACTGGTTCAAGACAAATCTAGTGCTCAGCCTCCCCATATTAAAGCAGTACTAATATTAAATCTTCTTAAATACATACGTGCAGGCCTCTAGCAAGCCCATGTCTGAGCACTAATTAAAACCTAAGTCCCATATTCTGTACACTATGTCATCAAATGTGGTCATTAAACAAGGGCCAATTTATTTCTTCCTGCATGCAACCTTTGCTATTCTGTAACTCTCTAGGAAAGTATATCTTCCTAGAAATGGGTAAACATCCTCTGTCTCAAAAATAAAAAGTGACTAGGTATCGGTGAGGATTTCTTTCAAGTACCCACAAACCTCAAGGGCCATGGGGAGGTCTTGAAAGGAGGAACACTTGCAAATGAATGGCTTGTTTCCTCCCCTGTTTGCAAGCTAATGTAAGTAGGACACACAAACCTGATATATTTAGGATTAGGATTTTAAAATTTTTAGCCGAGAATGCACCGGGGGTTTTTAAATGTTTTTTTAATTGTTATATTATTATTATTTATGTATGTTTTTATGTATTCTTTGTGAGCCGCCCCAAGGCTTTGTTGCGATGGGGGTGGCATAGAAATGTTTTAAATAAAAATAAAATATTTGTTTGAAGGCAAGGGGGTAACTGGCAGCAGGAGAGAGACTATTTCCTGCCTTCTTGTTCTGACATTGCTGAGCCTTTTCATTTCCTACAAGGATTGGGCAATAATCATTTCAGAAGGCTGTTATGTCTGTGTGGCTGGTAAGATGGACTCCTGCAAGGCTAATGACTCTTGCAAGCAAAGGTAAAGAATTTGTTCTTACTTTAGTGCAGGTATGTAGGACTCAGCAGGGGAAAGGTAATGAATGACAGCCAACTGAGATACAAGTTGGTGTAGAGCCACCTTACATGAATCGAAAGCATCTGCAAATCCCCTTCCTTCTTGAACACTCACTCCATACCTGCATGCCTACATCTATGATGGCCATAGTTACTGTTGTAACAGTATTCATTCTAATGAAGTATGACTGTGTTCAGTCCCCAAACTTTATAGTCAAACAGAATTTTACCTCTGCCCAGCCTCCCCAGTGAATTCCAGCTTCTAACCCACAATCCTTTTGCTGCTATTATTTTCTGTACCACAGTCTCTACATATTTCCAGGGTTTGTTAGCACAATGCTTGTGAGCCTTGATCTACTTTTTAGGAGTATGACAGCCCATGGCTTGACACCACAGAACAATGACCAAAAAGCATGGGCTGCAGTGCCTACAGAAGGGCCGCCTAGCAAATGCCATTTGCTCTAGCGCAGTGCGTCGCCTCTCTCCCTTACTCACCCTCACGCACACACGCAGGCCTTCTTTGCTCAACTCACAGCCTTCTGGGAGGGGCTGTGGCTCAGGGGCAGAGCACCTGCCCCTGTTTGCATGCAGAATTCTCACATTAGATCCCCAGCAGATCCAGGAGGGCAGGAAAAAGACCTGCCTGAACTGGAAGAGCTGCCGCTGGTCAGTATCGATGATGTGGGAATGCATGGACCAATGGTCTGGCTCTGTGGTCAGGTCCTCACGATCATGGTGGGGAAAGAGGACCTGCTTGCATACTGGGTGCTATGCCTGCTTAGCCTCACAACACAGGGCTTCCTGTGTTGTCTGATCCCTGTGAAGTGCATAATGAGGGGCAGCTTCAAAATCACCCCACAACAAGCCATGGTTTTGAAACAACCACACACCTCATCAGGTTCAGATGACATGGGAAGCCATGCACAGTGATGTGAGGGTAGGTGAAGTGTGCAGTGCACAACTGTCAAGAAGGGGACAGGGAAAGGAAGATGCCATGGCTTCTTTCCCTCCCATGGTCATGTGAACCTGACCAGTCAGTTTGTTATGGCCCTGGGTTTTAACCTATCCCAGGAACAAAGGGTTTGAACCAAAGCCTCTTCTACACCAGTTTAGCAACATGTAAAATGGACACATTTAGTACTGTGTGGACTGTTCTGCAAGGTTTTATGCAAAGGGGCTACCTGCTATCTTTCTATCACAGTTCTTTGGCTCTAGCTCACTCCCCAATATTCTACAAAACACTTGGAGGCAACCTCCTGTGATGGGAGAAATGTGCATGTGGGAATTTTGTTGTTGCCTTTTACACTGCAACATTATGTGTTGTCAGATACAATGAGGATAAGGTAATCAGAGCACTTAGTAAACTGAATCAGCCCTGTGCAGCAACAACCAAGTGAAAATGTGCTTGGATTTTGTGCTTTTTTTCTTTTTAATTGGTGGGGTACACCAAAAGAAACTGCTCACAACCATACTGTGAAAATCTATGGAGCCATTCTAAGTCTGCTTCCTCGTATATTTCATGTGAAAGAAGGTACCCAATCTCTTCTGTCAGATGTCACAAGGTATGGAGAAGCCCTTTCTGTTCATAGTCATAGTCACTGTCTTAACCATTTCTACCACTGTGCATTATTAGGATCAGCACAGCCAAAACAGTTTTTCTCCAGGGCCAACTGAGTCAGTGTATTATTCCTACTTTCATCTGGGTATCATCTCCAGAGCCAGCTAGATCTGTGAGCAGATTGCTTTTTCAGAAAGCTGGGAAAGGAATATATTCTCTCTCCCTCACCCCACAAGATAATTAGCAGCTTCAGTAAATGCCATACTGCCAAGGCCTTTGTTGAATACTCATGAATGCATGAATTAAACTTCTCCACACCTCTCTTAAACAGTTAAACAAGCTAATAAATCATTTAACTGAGGTAGCCATTTTCTGAAATCTTTTAAATACTAACCTCAAAATAACAACATTCCTTAAAAAGACAGCAGCTGTCATCCTATCAACATTTGGAAAATACATACATACATACATTTGACTAATGTTAAAGTAATGAAATAGTAGACCACCTCTATCCCTCTGTGTCTGTGTGTCATAGATACAATCCAAGGATGTATGTAAAGAAAACAAACCACACACATATGTATGCTCTTGGGCATGCACTGGGATGCAAGAGAAATTGCTTCTCATGCTCCATTGTGAGCTTGTTTAAAAAAATAATCTACTCAGTCAGGTGATTTTCACAGAATGTTGAGCTGATAATATGTGTTGGACCGCAGATACTGCTCATTAATCTTCAGTCAGGCAGAGATAATCTAGTGGAACTTATACCCGACCAATAACAGAAAGAGGCTTTTGAAAAGCAGCAGTCAGTTCTAGCACAAGCTATTTTTTTTGTCAGGAATATGCTATTAGGGTAAACAACAGAGTGAGCACATCTCCATGGCCCTTCATTTTTACATGGTGAATCATTCCTATTCAAGGATTATACCATTGCT